GGCCTATGACTGTTTCTGGCGATGGAGACAACAGGGAGTGAATCAGTGGCGTGTCCCCGTTGTTGTCGGCCTCGTTCACTTCCATCCCTTTCTCGTCGACAAGGTACGTGATCACTTCGGTGAGCCCGGCGGCGGCGGCTTGATGGAGGGCGTTGATGCCGAACTCGGAAGACTCAAGCCGTGCGCCGCGCCGAAGGAGAATCATGGACGTTTGGGCGTCTCCGCTGAGAAGAGAAAGGAAGACGGGAGTACGTAGCCGGCAGTCCGGAACCCCATCGATATCGGCACCGTGGTCAAGGAGAAACGACACAATGTCAGCATAGCCTTTTGAAGCGGCCAGATACAGGGCCGTAACGAGGAAAGGGCTATATCGATGGCTCTCGGTCATATACATGGTGGCCGGTCTGTTGTAGTCAGCGCCGGCTCGGCAGGTATGCCGGAGCGTGGCGAGGGCCACCCGTGTATCTCTACAGTTGGCAATGGTGTTGAAAACGGCGGAGTATTTTCCCGTTTTCACATCGTTTCTGTAGAGTTTGGGGTTGAAGAACGAATGCCAAGTGCGCGAGCATTGTGCGAATACGGACTGGTCATGGAGCTCGCTGTGATTGAAGACATGCCACGCCACGTCTAGGGATATCGACTCTGCATGAGTAGACTTCATAGTGAGTGACGTCTGCCGTACTGAGCGACACGATGTGATCTGCGACGAAAGCACGGCATAGCAAGAACACGAGGCAGTCACGCTGTTGCTGTAGGCTTGCCGACCTCATATCCAACACAAGAATTCGAACTTCGTCCCATGGGACGGCGCTTTACGCCAGAAGCATCTCATACATACATTGCAGATCCAGAGTTGACCATCTCTTTCAAGAAAGGTCTTGAGTTCTGCTATTCAGGCGCTACGGTGCTTCTTTTGGTTATGAAAAAAGCATCTCGTTCATCATCTATGTGGACAGTACCGTTTTTCGCGAGTGGTCTCTGGCTTTTCTGGACGCAAATTAAAGATAGGTTCAGGATATCGGGCTATTCGAAAAGAGCTCATGGCTCCGGTTTGGGTGGAATTGATACCAAACGTACAAATGGTGTTCACGTCGGCTTCGGACGCCTCGCCCTCGCAAGACCGATGGAACCCAAATGGGCCTTCACCATACAGTGTTGTGCACATGTTGCTCCGTCTCTCGCAAACATTCCCAATGTTTGAAAAGCCGAAAACTGGCATGATGGGCCTCCGCAGACCTCTGGTAATGGCTATAGCGACTGATTTGCAAACAAAAGTGTGGGTCAGGATAGTAAACGACAGTGCGAATGGCAGCGCGTGATCAAGAGCTCCTCGAAAGTATCCATAATCGGCTTCCACAGTAGCCATATTCTCCTGATACAGATTATGATGGTTTGCAAATAGGAAAGATATTGAGCCCAGACTGTGTGGGTCAAGTCCAGACAAATAAAATGTGTTGTAAAGAGGAAACAACATAGTGTATGTATGATTGACGCTGCAATTATCTAGTGTCCGGAAATTGTTTTTTGGGGACACGCCTGACTTTCTGCTACAGGAACCTCCAGCAAGCAACAGCACGCTTGCACGCACCATCACATCGTTTCTGCGGAGTTCACACCGGGCTCTTTCCAACAACCCGTGTCGACGCCTGTGAGCCGGAATTATGCATTCTCAGAAACGTGATCAAGGGCCTTTGTACAGTACCGAGAGGCCTTCCCCTTGTGCATTCAGTTTCCAACTCCTACCCACATACCTAGAGGTCGAGATCCAGGAATTAAGCTGGAAAGGTACTGCCACTTTCTTGTTGCAGGTCGTTTCTGGCGTCAGAACAAGGATCTCGCTTGCCGACTAGCCCATCTATGGCATCCGATTTTGGCTCTCACCAGACGTCGGTTCAAGCTATGCTCCCTAGCCACACACCGTCGATGTTACTGGACACCCCGTGTTCCAAGTTGCTTATGACTCAAAATCTGCGCCGTATCCTACGTTGGAACTGGAGTTGTCCCCAGCCACACGACGAGGATCCTGCTTCCTTGATACCCTCTCTGTAAGATCTAGATCTGGCCTTTCGTGACCCGAACAGGGCTTCTCCATATATGTACACCCTGTCTATACGAATCATCAGGTATTGCTGGGAAACCCTTTGCGGCTAGTCTGCCTAGAAACGCAACCAAGACCTCTTCATCATTTAGGTTGAAAGATGATGCGCATCTGACACGCTCGACAGGGGTTTTTCCTTTTTGAGTAATGAGATGCAGCTCCTACAGCACGTTCATTCGCCTGTCGCTTGTGGTGAGTAGAAAGCAGTATGTACACACTTGTGACGTGTAGGTCTCAAACATGCCGCAGTCAACATTTTTTGCAAAGGGTCCGTCTACACGCATCATGGGTTCAAAGCTTCATTCAGTATTCTCACCTTTGAGAATCGCCTCATCAAGTGAAACGCTTCACGGACAGAGGCTTCCACAAGAACATGTGTCGACCTTCCTCCTCTGCGACTCCGACGAGGAGAGCGACAGCATCAAGAAGGAAAAAGGACTTGTACAAGGCGATTCGCATCAGGGAACAAGCTTTCTGACTAGCATAGCGTCTCCTGATATCGCGGCTGGTATCAAGACCGTCTGCTCTGCAGCGGCTCGACATCCAACCAAGAATAGCGAGACAATGTCTTCGTATAGAGTGACACACGTCTACGGGAAAGCCTCCACAGAACGCTCGCTCCATCTCAGGACAGCCAGCCGCGATGGCGCGATTATCACTAATTCTTTCAACTGGAACTCGAATGATCCTTACGCGAGGTCTGCCGAGTGCGGTATCCCTAGGGCAGACTCACCAACCATATGAGGGTATCGTGGTTGCTGTAGTTGTATCGCCAGATCTCCTTATGATAGACACGCATCGAGGCGCGCCATGAAGAGTAAGACAAAAGCAAGTGGTTGGCGGAAGGCTGTTCTATGGGCCCGTATATGAGAATGCAAACTTCTTGTGAGGATCGCAGACTCGTCAACGTGTGAATTTTGACATTATCGACTTCATGCACGACTGTGGTGATAGAGGAAGATGTTTATAAATCGTTGAATCCTGTCTGGCTTCTCGAAGGCTCATAGCCTGGTCCGCCAGGCTCATGATGCATCACATACACACCGATTTAGAACTCATCCGTACGACCCGTGGTGGATATATAAATGATAGGGTATTAGATTTCCTAGCTAGTCAATTTGTATGTGTGCCAGCACGAGCTTATACGTCATCTTCTGTGCCTTCCGCTCATCTTTTCTAGTCTCGGGCTGTCGCCATGCGATGCATTGTTTGATTGTATCTTTGAATTATACGAC